TACCTAAAGACTATGGCTTACTTGCTCCTCATGACCCACTTTAAAAACATATTATTTAATACCCATATGGATGCTTGGAGATGCTAACAAATCATCATGAAAGATGTTCAATACAATATCCTCTTGTTGCATGATATCCTTTACTTTACCTTCAAGCTCATCAACAAAATACCTGATACACTGCCTATAAATCTACTCGTACGATGTGGTATTCTCTTTCCCCACATCCAATTAGATAACCTTTCATATACAGGATTATCATAAACTTTGTTGGTCTAATTTAACGTCCATAACTTTAAAATAATATTTTTCTAGTACAACAACCTGTATTTAAACCTGAAAAAAACAACTATAAACTACATCCAGATTTAAGATTTTTTACATACAATGCTTATTTTCTGTATGGGCCAATACTATAGTTTTTAAAATTATATTTTAGCAGAAGGATATACTGCTTGTTCAACAATCCCAAAATTTCACTCACAAAACTTTCTAAATGTTAACCATTGCTTGCATTTTGAAAGATACATTCACTGTCCATAGATTTATGTGATGAATATACTCTGTACCTATGTGTGAACAGAAGAACAAGAACATAAACAAGTCAGGTGCTGGAATAAAAAATCTGTATCTTGCTTTCTTCTCTTTTCTTCATAATAATGTGCTGTATTTATTTAAAAACCATTGTATACTACAAAAGATGATCTGTTTATGTTTTTGTCAGACAGCTTTTCAGCTTAAAATATACATATTTTGTAAATGGATTGTTCAGGTTTCTCAGCAGTGCAAAAACACTGTATCACTGTTAAATAAAATGTATTATGTTTTCACTGAAATATTATCATTTAATTATTTAATGATATTATTATAGTAATTTCTGTGAAACTGATATATTTCTAACAAACATCCTGTTCTGTGATAATTACTTACCATAATTTTTTCAATGAAGAAATAGCTTTTATCAGTGGGAGAAAATGATCATCTTTAAACCCACATCCCTCTAGTTCTAAAACCTCCAGATTTTTGGTTGCATGAAGTAGCTGAACTAAACTAAATACCAGGAAAAGAAAAAGACGGTATTGTTCAGTAAAGTGAAAAATGGCAATTATCAACAGCAGAAAATATTTCTAGGTGTATAATCTTAACATGTAAAATTAAACTAGCTCAAGTGACAATATATAAAAGAACAGTTAACTACAAGTATTTTAGGCATAGATTTATTGAACAAAATCAAATATACCTACCGAATAATTACTTTAAAAATAGTGCTTTTAAACATACCAATATTGAAGAATACAATAACTTTAATGTGTGAGTTTGATATAAAAAAAAACATTGATAAACTATGGATGAGTAAAATATATATATACACTAACAGGATGAATCTGTCATCAAAGAATCCTCAATATTGTTAACAAAAATTTATAGCTACCATTTTGTGATATCTAATAATAAATACTTTTCCATGAATGTTATACAGTAGAAAATAATACTTCCAAAACAAGTAAAATGTTTAAGCACGTACAGATAAAATCTTGCTTCATTAAACCTTTTTTTTTTTTTGTGACCTGGCATTTTGTATTTCCAGGAGTGAGGGAAGCTTGACAAAATCTGAAATATTGTATATTTGGCTAATTTATTGTACATATTATTGAAGAAAAGTCTTACAAACCATATATCATTGGATTAAATGTGAAAACTCCCCATCAAAACATACCCATATGGTTCCTGAAAATACAAATAGCAGGTCTATCAAGTTCTACACTGTGGTCAAAGAATTAGTGTGTTGATTTTCCACTACCCACCCAAGTTATATAACATCTACCACAGATCTACACTTAATTTTTTATTATTACTTTTATGCATTCCATTAGGAATCAATAAAAGGACACTTTTTAACATAAACTTTTTACATGAAAGAGCTGGTAAGTGAAAAGGGACTCCGTGAACGGGACTTGAAGCCCTCTGATTAAAATGGCCAGTGCTTTATCACTGAGCCATCCAAGGATCTACGATTGTATGTACCTTGTTATACTTCATACTATGTTTGTCTACTTACCACAATGTATCGTCCAGTGATATGTTTCCTCATTACTCGGAATTATGATTGTATACATATATTATTGTAAGTTATACCTTGTCAGTCTACCTGATCGTATCATCCAGTGGTATGTTACCATGATATGTGGAATCTATGATTGTACATGTATTGTTGTATGTTATATCATGTTAGTCTACTTACCGGATTGTATCATCCAGTGGTATGTTACCATGATATGTGGAATCTATGATTGTACATGTATTGTTGTATGTTACATCATGTTAGTCTATTTACCGGATTGTAGTGTCATACATGTTTACTTTAGATGGTGCAGTGTCATTCATGTTTACTCTGGTTGGTATATTTTTATACATGTTTACTTTGGTTGGTGTAGTGTTATACATTGTATGTTACATCATGTTAGCGCACTTAACTCAATACATCATTTACCCCAACATTCCATCTAACATAACATGGAATATATTACAGTACTTATATTTCACACCAGGTTAATCCACTTTATAAAATATTAGGTCGTCAAGAATTTAA